CCTCAGGTTCTTTTTCTGTAAAAATGAGATAATAATAATGGCTATCCTGTAGGATTTTTATGAAAAACAAATCTGTACATGTAATGTACTTAGAAAATACACAGAACTCAATAAATTTTATCTGTTAGTCTAGTTAACATGATACACAAATGTGCAGCTGAATCATTTTGTGAACAGAAGATGAATTTTCTCTATGTCTAATCTCAGAGACCTGGCAAAGATTGCTGAAGTGGGACTGCTGTAAATAATAGCTACTTATTGGAGAACAGGGAGTACTGTAAAAATGAAAAGGAAAAAGAGTTTTTCCTATTTTTCAAGCAAAATAAATATATAAATAACAATTCATTATTCCATTATTTAGTAGTATTAGTATGATTACTGTTGCCAAACAGTGTTACATTGTTTTATTTTGAACAGTTGGTATTTTAAAAATAGAACATTTGATAAATAAAATTGAAATTGGAGAGAAACTGTAAATACTCAATTAATTTGAACTTTACCTTATTTGATATTATAAGCTTAGTATTAAGTACTTGGACAGTACTGTTTTTGTGTTTCTCACCTTACCTAGACCAGTATTATGGTACCTGGTAAATACAGATTCTCAGTGGACCACTCTAAGTCCCCCAAAGCTGTTGGAAATGTGTGGGGCCGTGTTCACGTGTCATGATGACTAGTGGACACCTTTGGCATTTAGTAGGCAGGAGCCAGGAATGTTGCATTTCCTGCACATTTCCTGTGGGCCTGTCCTGTACAGTAAAGAATTGTCCCGCCTAAAATGTCAGTAGCATCCTTATTCAAAGAAGAAAAGGGAAACTACTCATAGAGAAATGCTGTTCTAGAAAACAGTAGTTTCCCCTTTCTTCTTTGTAATTAATATTGTAAATAATGGCTGGTATGTTCTTAGTCATTTGTTAGATCCTGAATAAGACAGTCTCTACCCTGAAGGAGTTCATACTTTAATTGAGAAGGTAATAATTAGTGTGATAGGTACAAAAATAGAAATGTCTCTAATGTATAGAGGCAATGAGTGATTGCTTTTCTTTGAGGCTGTTTGACTTTGACATTTGCCTTGTTTTGGGAATTGTGAGCGAAGACTGCTGATTGTAAGGAATAGTCTACTAAAGTTATATATGCTGTATTCAGGGAACTGCAAGTAGTTTGGTACTGTTAGAAAATAGAGTGCAAGTTATAGTAGCAGTTGGCATTTGGCAACATATGCCATGTTAAGGAGCTTGGTCTTTAGAGTGAGAAGGGTTATCTGGGGTGCTAAAGTGCAGTTTTGGAGGAATCTGCTCCAGAGAGTCTGACTTGATAGGGATAATGGAATGGGACCTAGGAATCTTCTTTTGTACGTAAGTATTCCAGGTTGTTAGATAGATATCTACATATTACAATTTGCCATGAGTTCAGTGTTGTGTTTTGCTTTGCTTTGCTTTGCTTTGCTTTGAAATAGATTTGGTGCCTATCCTAAAACTTTCAATGGATTTTTTTGTCTTCCAGTGGCCATATAAAGGACGTTCTACAGAGAAAAGCTTCCTTTATGAAATAGTGGCTAATAAAAGAAATGGCATTGATGTAGACAAATGGGATTATTTTGCCAGGTATGCACTGAACCCTTCAGAAAAGGTGGTATAATAATCCTTATGTAAAATTAGTGGTAGTATTTAAGGTACAGTTTCTGTGTTGAAAAATCTTCTCCCCTTGACCTTGGTGTTATAACACCTTGCTGTAACCAACTGAGCTCATCTGCCAGCCTGGGTTCAGTTTTTAAGCAAAGGAAATTTTAGAAAATTCACTTTGGTAACAGTGTAAAACAGTGTATCCCAAACTATTTGACTAGGATCCTACTTAAGAGATAATAGTATTTAACATTTTGATTAAATATTCATGAATGTGTATGTATAACTGAAACAAAAATTTGCAAGACAGTTCTGACTCTGTGCAATACAGTCTGACATTTTCTTTTTAGTTCAATTTCATTTACAAAAAAATTCCAAGTTGACTTTTTGTGACCCAATAATGGCTGTGATCCTCAGTTTGGAAAGCATTGATTTAGGTTTTTAAAGTAACCGTTCTCACTTTAGCATGTACTGAATAACCTGGACAGCTTGTTTAAATAGATTGCTGCTCACTCCCAGAGCTGCTGATTCAGTAGGTCTGGTTGGGACCTGATAATTAAGCTTTTTGATGGCTGGCAGATAAGGGATCAAACCATGGACCTTGGTGTTATCAGCACCACGCTCTAACCAACTGAGCTAACAGGCCAGCCCAAGAATTAGCTTTAAAATTTTTTTTTTCAATTCTTTTTTTTTTTTTTTTTTTTTTTAAAGAATTAGCATTTTAATACGTTCCCAGGTGATGCTGATGTTGGCTCCGGAACCACATTTTGAGGACTTCTGATTTATAGAGGATAGATTGAAAGGATAAGTTTCCACTGTAATGTAGGCTGTGTGAGGACAAGGATTGTTCACTATCTTCTCCATGCCTGCAATAGTGTGTGGCATTTGAGAGGTCTTCAAAAAGTTCATGGAAAGATTCATATTATCTTTTAATTCCATTTTTCCATGAACTTTTTGAAGTACTCTCGTATTAGAGATCTTCAATAATTATTTGTAGAGAGCATGATTGATGTGCAAAGCTCAATGAGCTCAATGTACTACATCACCACACTTTGCGGTACTGGTGGGAGGAAAGGACTAGGGTAATAATAGTAGTAATAGATTGGAGTTATGCTCTGGAAGGGAAATTGACAATAATGAATGATGGGATGTTGGGGTAGATTTTTACCTGTAGGTCGTTGACTTGGTAGGTTAGGTGAGTTGTGGTATCTAGCACTTAGCTGCACATAATATGTATACATTAATATTTGCCATCATTATGGAAGCTGCATTAAAGTGATGGTTTCAGATTGCAATGAGTAGACCAATTGGAGGTGATAAAAGTGAAACATTAAATTTGAAAATTACGGTTTAAAAAACTTTCTTAGGGCCGGCCCGGTGGCGCACTGGATAGTGCGCTGCTTGGGAAGCGCGGCGGCGCTCCCGTCCGAGGGTTCGGATCCCACATACGGACCGGTTCCCGCTCACTGGCTGAGCGGGGTGCGGGAGCAACACGGAGGGTTGCAATCCCGTTGCCGGTCCCCGGTCCGGTACGGGGGCAACACTGAGGGTTGCGATCCATTGCCGGACACGGAAAAAAGACAAAAGACAAAAAAAAAAAAAAACTTTCTTAAAGCATGAATTAATAGTACTTTTTCACCTTGATTTTTGGCTCACAAGATACTAAGCTTTGTTTTGTTCTGGAGAAGGGAAAGATATGTAGAAGGTTTGAGTGATAGCTCAGTGTTTGCGAGCCTTACTATATGTAATAACACATTAGTCAGAATGTGTTTCATTCAACATGTAAGTGCCTATTTTGGTGGTGTGCTATGTTAAGTGCCCACTTTATAGAGATGAACCAGGCATAACTTGGGCTCTCAAAAAGTAATGCTGTGTTACCACAGAAAGAAGCTAGCTATTTTTAGTCTGGGATTTGCAGAGACTTAGATTTATCAGCTGGAAGAGTGTTAGAATTAATCTAATGCAATTTGCCTCTTTTTTTAGATGAGGAAAATATCTAAGAAAGATAAATGATTTGGTCACATTAGTGGCCAAGCCAGGACTAATTGGTTTCTTGACTTCTGTTGTAATGCTTTATTATACAATTAATACCAACACCAATAATAATAATAACATTTATTGATTACTGACTTTTTGCTAGACTCTGGTAAGTGTTTCACATGGATATGTTGTTTAATCCTCACAACCCATTAGATGGATATTGTTACTTTCTCTGTGAGAATAGACTTAAGGTAAGTCTGAATGCTGGGCCTGCTAGGGGGATGTTTGTATTGGGAAGTTGATCTTTGTTTACTTTTTCAGTAAGCCATTAGGGATGTGCTGGAATTGTTATTAGCATGTAGACAGAAATCTAGAATTTCTAGAATGGTTAGAGGGGTCAGGAGATTATAAAAAGTCTGTAAGTATGGCAAAGGGAGGTTCTTGAGGAATCTGATAAAAGCATCAGGTGATTTAGGCAATGTCCGAAGAACAGATTCTGGAGAAGAAAACAAAGTAAGTATGTGTAGATCCTTGTTTGCAAAATGACTGAATTAAGTTTCATTGTATTTTCAAGGAACAGTTTGTGACTTCCTTGGACACTTTCTTATATGGTTGAGGCTCTAGATTGAACACTAAAGTAACTTGGTAGAGGGGAAATGTGTTAGGGAAAAGGATGAAAGAGTTGCAAATATTTTCTTTTCTTCTTTTTGTCCACTTCTGATTTTTATTCATCACAGAATCTATCCTAGGGTGAAATGAGAAAAGAAAAGTGGCTAAACAGAAAAGGATCATCAATCCTTGGGATTACTGGGAAAAGGAGGGAATTATCAAGAAGTGTGGAGGGTTAGGAAAAACTCTTAAGACTATCAGGCACTGCTGTTTGTTTTTCCTTTTGTGTGGGATTGGACAGATACAAAGTTGGGTCTTTCTAACCCTAGGATTGCCTTTGTGTTTCTCATTGTTGTAATCAAGAAAAGATGAATTTATGTTCTGTATATGTTATTTAAGAGGCAAAAAGTTTTGTATTAAGGAATGAATTTCGTAAAAGTAGTTTAATAATGGTTTTGGTATTACAAAGGACAGTCTTTGATTACTAAAAAAATTGCTTATATGAAACCCTTTGCTAAATAATATCTGATAACTAAGGAATTATCATAGAAAGGAGGAGATAAAAAGAAATAAAAAATTTTTCAGTACTCCAAAGTGGCAAAAATGAGGTTTGATTTAAAAACCTGTTTTCATTATAGTTTACACATGGATAAGAATTTGTATTTTTGTGGCTGTATCAGCTTTTAAAATGGAAGAATTTTTTAAATAATAAAAATAATATTTAATCTGTATGTCCAGAGTTATTTTCTCTGACTTTCACTTAGAAATTTTTAATGTTCTTTGCCTTAGTTATGGGAGAATAAACTAATGCAGTCTAGAGCAGTAGATGGATTTCATTCAGAGGAACAGCAGCTTTTATTGCAAGTTCAACAGCAGCATCAACCCCAGCAGCAGCAGCATCACCACCACCACCACCACCAGCAAGCTCAACCTCAGCAGACAGTACCTCAGCAAGCGCAGACCCAGCAGGTCCTTATTCCTGCATCACAGCAAGGTGAGACCGGTTTGTTTTCCTGCTTACGACCTGGGAATTAAATCTGTCATTTTGAAAGAAGAGAAATACTTTGAGTTTCTCAGATCTTGATTTTAAAAGGTGGTTGGTAAACCTAAAAAAAATTCGTAAAAGACTATATTAATTTTGTTATTTTTCTTCTCCTTTCTATTGGCTGAGGGGTGTGTGTATAAATTTGTATAAAATGCGAATCATACTTGTATAGTAATGATAGACAAGCAATTTGTTAATTGTAAGCCTAAGATGATATTCAGGTAAGTTTTATTAATATATTCTTTTGAGAAGGCTGTTAGTACAGTGGTTGATTTCCTAAAATAAGTCAGATCTATAAAGGCTTATTTCCTAAGGGCTTCATTATTTTTTATGAAAAAATAATTATATGCTTTCTTTATGAAACATGTTTTTTCAAAGACATGTTTCTGTTTATAGTTTTGTAAGTGTATTTTAAACACTGGAGGAATTTTGAAACTATACTTTGGCAATCTGAAAATTCAGTACCATAGTAATTTATGTAAGTCTAAATTGAATTCTTCTAAGTGAAGAGTGATATATGAGGGGACTTCAAAAAGTTTATGGAAAAATTCATATTATTTTTAAATTCTGTTTTTCTACAAATTTTTTAAAGTACTTTCATGCAGCATATCTTAATTTATACTACTTGGTTTAAAGGTAAGAAAAAAATATTTATAGATGGTGTCCATAGTGCTCTGCACTATGCAAGTCATTTTATAGAGACTGTTTCATTGATTCCTTGTAAGGACTTTATGAAATAGCCCTTGCCTTCATTTCACAGCTGGGGAAAATCTGGGCCCTGAAAAGCTAAGAAGCAGGATTTATTACATGTAGCAAATACTATCTCTCATGACAAACATCTATTCAGTTAAACAACTTGCTAGGCATTCTAATTCAGTGAGTCTTTATTGTTACTGACAAGAAGAGTGAAGGTAAATGAAAAGTTTAAGTTAACCATTTAGTTACCCATTTGCCTTATCTGAGAGTATGTATATGACTTAAAATTTATAGTGATATACAATAGAAAGGTCTGTTTGGGTTATTTTATTGTTTATACCAAGTAAGATTTTTTTAATGCCTGATTTTAATCTATACCTTGTATCAAATAACTTTAGCATTTTAATTTTTTTTGGCAGCAGGCTGGTATGGAGATCTGAACTCTTGACCTTGGTGTTATAACTTTGTAATATTTTTGATGACTGTTCCTCCTATTGCCTTCAAGCCTGGCACTAGGATTTTAGGTCATCATAAATTAAAATGTGATTTTCTTCACTCAGAGAATATTAGGATAATGGGATTATCTATCTTTTCTCTGAAATTTGCGGAATCAAACACTTAATTCCTTTTATACTTAAGTTACATTGCCATTATTTCTGATTTGTATTTTTTAAACAGCTAATAAAAGAATAGTAACATGATTCTGGCAACTGTCAAATCAGGAGAAAAGGACTGTGTAGATTAGTAAAACTAGTTATAACTTTTTGAGCTTGCTCTTAATGGATTAGTAACTCATGCCAACAGTGGTATCATTATATCAGTAAAACAGTTAATGCTGAGTTAGCAAGACAAGATTAAATTATGTTTGAAAATTTTCAGTTTATTTAAGAATGCTCAGAAACATACATTTAGGTGTTAGGTATTTCACTACTTCATGTTCCTAAATCCCTTGCATCCTTAGGTATTGTCACTTCAATATTTGTTATTGGTGCTTTCCATTGTAGGGAGGGTATATCACAGCTGGTATTTGTAACATTCTGTGATATCTAATGGTTGAATGCAGAAAAAGTGGAAAACATGAAAAAATTTTTTAGCATTGTATAACATTCTTGTGGTTATGAAATTAGTCTCATGGTACCTAATTTACATGTGTGCCTTTTTTGTAGCCACCGCACCACAAGTTATTGTTCCTGATTCTAAGCTGATACAACATATGAATGCATCAAACATGGTAAGACTCAGAATGTAGCACTTTGATTGACTATACTTATTATAACTTAAATTATAATTATGCCTAGGTATGTTATATGATAAAAGTTTGAAGTTTATTGAAGACTTGAGCAAAACATCTATTTTATGTAGATTATTTAATTTTAGATTTGTCAGCAAATCTAAAGTTTAGCTTGGTATTGAGACATTAAGGCTTATAAAATTATACAGTTTTCTGTTTAAAAAATATCAAAAGAGTGATGCTTTGTGTGAGCTCTTTCATCCCCTACTATTTTTTTTTTTTTTTGTCTTTTGTCTTTTTCCGTGTCCGGCAACGGATCGCAACCCTCAGTGTTGCCCCCGTACCGGACTGGGGACCGGCAACAGGATTGCAACCCTCGGTGTTGCTCCCGCGCCTCGCTCAGCCAGTGAGCAGGAACCGGTCTGTATGTGGGATCCGAACCCTCGGGCGGGAGCGCCGCCGTGCTAGCGGCGCACTTATCCAGTGCGACACCGGGCCGGCCCCATCCCCTACTATTTTTGAAAAATATGTTTTAGGGTACCTATCAAACCTGTTATGTTTTAAGTATAGTTCTGCTTCAGAAGACCTATTAATTGTAAGAGATCAAGAATGCTAAGAATTGTAAACTTTTTAGAAATGAAAATGAACTGTTTAGATAGTTCAAGGTGGCTATTTTTAAAATCAAACATTTAGAAATATTTGCACTGATTTAACCATAGTATAGTCTAACAAGTTTTATTATAATGTGTAAATTACTACCTTAAAATAATTTTAACCAGTTACTTTACTTAGAACTTTGATATTTCTCAGGGATATTCACTGCACTTCACTAGTCCTTAAATTTTCAAATTACACTTAGAGCATATATTTCTCATCAAATGTAGTAAGTGTAACTATAAAATTGAAAGAACCTCTTGAGATTCTTAGAAAATCTTTACCTATATCCTTAAGTTTTTTTTTTTTTTTTAAGAAAACATTAAAATGCAGTCTGATTAGAGTAGTTATTCAGTACTTTCTTACAAATGGCTTTTCTTTATTCTGTTTAAGATACACACTATTAATGTCATAAATAGAGTGATTTCTCAGCTCTGACATTTCATTCTTAAATTCAGCCAAAACTTTTATTTAAAGGTAAGAATCATTATTTGTAAAAAGATCTCTTAGCCTATGTAACTACTGGTAGCAATGAGATTCTTTTTCAGATCCAGATTTTTTTTTAACCAAAAAGCAATATTTAGAAAAACCACTTCTACTTTGTGAGTGATAAGTAGTGTACCACAAAGCTCATTTGTGATTTACCAGACAAATAGGAAGCAAGGCTCACTTGCTAGACAAATGACTTCCTCCTATGCATTACCAGCCTCGCAAATTCATACCTTGGCAAAATTGCAAATTTCTATATGATGGTAGAAAATGCAGTTTTTAAATTCACAAATACCAAGAATCTTTATTAGTACTTCTAGTGCAAGTTATTAGAATCAGTTCTTTCTGCATGAAAATTGCAAAATTCCATTCCTATTATTTCTCACAAGAATTTTTATTATTCAAAAAATTCCATTTAAGTCTAAGGCTTCACATTTTTTTTAACTTCCACCCTTTAAAAAAAAATTATCACTGTAGGGTTCATAGTGCAGTTGCTGTTACTAAGACTGTTTCCTAGGGAATAACTTCAGTCATTTTAAAACAGAAATTTTGGCAGAACCACCTACAGTAGGCCCTTCTAATGTAGAAGAATTTTAAGTGTTGTGGGAGAGAATTTTAAATTAATATGGTGTTTAAAGAGACTGGGGTGAAAATCAGTGGTCTGTCTCTTACGTACTGCTTAGGTCTTAATTCTAAAGAGTATGTGTTATTTAAATAGATCGTAGGTCAGAAACTTCAATAAGTAAAATGGATTAGCATTTTTGTGTATTTTAACATTTTACTTTGCTTTTTAGTCAGTGTTTCTTTCATGTATTTTACATGTTCCAAAACATAATCAGTATAGGTTCTTTACCAATAAAAATAAAGATTTTTTTTTTACTGGTTTTTGGGGGTAGAGGGGGCGGGGTTGGTTTGCATTATTATTCCTGATTAAAAGATATTCCATAAAAATAGTTTTGATTTTTCCAGTGGCTTTGTGTGCTTTAGAAGTGAACTTATTGGAAAATAATGTAATTTCATAGAAATGTGCGATAGTGATAATATAATACTAGGCAGAAGGCTATTTCAGGGAACTTATATCAAACCCTAGTGTTTCAGGTTCTCTTTGTGAAGTGATTGGTCTAATACATTATTCGTATTTGGGCTGTTTTCTAAAATACAAGAAGAAATTTTCAATAGCCATTAAGTAAAAGGTGGTTTGTGTATGGTACATGACTCAACAAGCATTTATTGAGCAACTTGAATGTGTGGAAGGTGTGCAGGTGGTTACTTTGTCATGTATGTCAGTTTGCCAGTAGAGAGAGATCTGTTATCTTATATAAGTGCCTATAATTTGGCACTTAATATTTGTAAAGGATGATATTTCTCAATTGTAAGTGGCTGTTAATATGTTTCTTAAATTTAGATTACCTTTCAATTGCCTGTATAGACAAGATTTATTTTAAGTTGGATACTTGGGTATCCAACTTATAGATGGTTGAACCTGGAAGGCTGTGGCTGGATTTTGTAGATAAAGTGAGAATTTCAGGCTTAACATATAGAAATTACTTAGGCCTGTCAAGTGGCCAACAAGCATATTTTCTTGGAAAGCTATACCTAGAGCCCAGACTAGATAGTAGTTGTATCATTAACCCAGTTTAGTATAATTTTAGAAGATTTGTTGACTTTTCTGGCATTAGCAGCTCCAAAGCACAGTAATATTTATTTCCCTAAGCTTTTCTAAATATGAGTGTTTCTAAAAATGTATAGGTTAGATTGAATATATGAAGGCTTGGTACCTTAAAGAAGACTGACGGGGTGAGGGGAAAAAATCTTCCTAAATGTAGTTACAGTGAGATACATAAGTGGTGTCTCAGCTTTGACATTTCATTCTTAAGTTCAGCCAAAACTTTTATTTAAAGGTAAGAATCGTTATTTGTAAAAAGATCTCTTAGCCTGTGTAACTGGTGATAGCAATGAGATTTTTTTTTTTCAGATTCAGATTTTTTTAACCAAAAAACAGTATTTAAAGAAATCACTTCTATTTTGTGAGTGATAAATAGCATACCACAAAGCTCATTTGTGATTTATAAGACAAATAGGAAGCAGTGCTCACTTGCTAGACAAATGATTTCCTCCTACACATTACCAGCCACGCATATTCACACCTTGGCAGAATTGCAGAGGACAGAATAAAAAAACAGAATGGTGTAATTCTTTGGGGGAAGAACAAGAGGAGAAAAGTGTTAGAAGCAGTAAATCAAGAATTTATCCTGAATTTAAAGAAATTCAGAATATAATCACATGTCTTTATAATGTAAATGTCACATACTAAGTCCATTTTAAAATACAGAAATTAAAGTTTGGGACTTTCCTTAAGACTTTTAAGGTATTTTTTTATATTAATAAATTTATTAATTAATACATGCTTTACCTAAATTATAATGCCAGTGTGTCCTTTTTTTTTCTTTTTGATAATATGGCATCTTAGAAGAATTGTCAGCTGAACTCCCAAGTGAAGTATTCTGATGATATCATGTTTTCTGTAGACACCTGTTGATTCTAGTAGAAATTTTAAAAATTAAGAATTCTAAAATAAAGATACTTATATTTTGGCCTCAAGTGTATTAATTGAAGACAAAGAATTGGGGATAAGGAAACAAAGAGTAGGAAAGGAAGCAATAATGAAATGGTTATTTCATACATTGTATAGCATTGTTAATACATATTTTTCTAAAACTGTATAGGTTAGATTGAGTATATGAAGGCTTGCTACCTTAAAGAAGATTGAAGGGGGAGGGAAAAAAGCTACCTGTGAAATTTTCTTAGAGCATATTCTCTAGGGGGAAAAAATCCCATTATATTGTTTAGTGTAATTGCTTGAAATAATTAAGTAGGTTATTTAGGCTAGAAGATGGTCTTTCTTATATCATCTTATAAAATGGAATTTAGTTTTATTGTTAGAATGTTTTATGTTAGTATATGCTAAACAAAAAATTTTATATACTAGTAAAATATGCTAGAGATAAACTGAGATATTGTTATGTACATATATGGTTTTGATTTTTTTCTCCCCCCCCAGAGTGCTGCTGCTACAGCTGCTACCTTGGCACTTCCTGCAGGTGTGACTCCTGTTCAACAGATATTAACAAATTCAGGTAATTAGGAATAATAGAACCATTTTTTAATATAATTCAGAAAATTATACCATCTAGCCCTTAAGTTTGTTTTCATCAAAAGACAGAAAATACTAATATTTCTTTTACCATTTGCTTTAGGTTATTAAAGTGTAACTTATTTGAGGGCTGTAGCACATGCAGCTGTAAGCATTGTTGAGGATGCAGTAGAGAAGATGAGAATTGCACTTGAGTTTTTGATCCGTGCGTGAGAAACCCTATCATTGAATGAAGTATGATTATATAGAAATGCTTGTTTACTTAGTTTTTTACTAAACACATTTAACCTGCCAAGTGAGTTAGACTTGACTCATTTGAACTTATTCGTGGTGTTAAACTAAACCCTATAGTATTTTATGAGCAAATTTATCGCATGCTATTGTACATGGTATCTCTTCGTTGACAAAAGTCCAATGGCAAGCTCATGATCTTTGGCATCTTAGTGTTTGAAGAATTTACGTGATTTTAAGTATTCTGTCTGTAATCTTGATTATACATTTTGTTATTTATAGTTTTTTTTTTTCCCCCTGGCAGCTGACTGGTATGGGGATTTCTAAATTTGTGAAGAACAAATTAGGGGCTTGTCTTGCTACATATTTTAATAAGATACAAATTGTTCACCTTTGAATTAATTCAATATTCTGGATCATCTAACACAACATATTGGGGGGATTTGATTCTGTATGTATAAGCCAGTAATATAGTTAGTATCATGTGGCAATGATAATCGATTCAGCAAACTTTATTGCTTTTAAACAGTTTTGAAGCAAAGTACTATGGTGCTTTAGTGCAAGATATTAAATGAATTATTATGCTTTTAAAGCTCTTAAAACAAACAGTCCCTGAAATGTCCTGATCTTATTTATTGCTCTTTCTTGAGTCCTAGTGTGTTGGAAAAAATAATTTAAGATTTTGATAAAGTTTCATAATCTGTCATTAAAATCTTATTGGAAAACAGCCAAATGAGGGTGATAAGTATGGAAAATGGAACATTTTAAGCAATATATTTGAACATGGAAGTCAAGGAATGTGTAGGTATGATAGCCCTTAATGAAATTGTTAGACTTTCCACTTGATAAGTTCTAGGACCTTCAGTGGTTTTACATTCAGTATGAATTCATTTATTTTGAGATGTTCACTGCTGAAGTTGTAACTTGGAATACATACTTTTTTGCTTTAGGCCAGCTTCTTCAAGTTGTCAGAGCAGCCAATGGTGCCCAGTATATCTTTCAGCCTCAGCAGTCAGTGGTTCTACAACAACAGGTTATACCACAAATGCAGCCCGGTGGGGTACAAGCTCCTGTTATTCAACAGGTAAAAGAATCTTATGTTATGATCACCGTGGGGTTCTTCTTCTTTCTTCTGTATGGACTCCCTGGGTGGTTCCCCTCCCTTTCTCATGGCTTTATATACACAAATTCTTATATTCTTCTCTAATGCTACAGACCCTGTTCTAAATTCCTCCTGTATACCTTACAGCTTAACTTACATTTAATATGTTAAAAACTGAATGGTCATCTCTGCTTATTCTTCATCATTCTCATGGCTTTATATACACAAATTCTTATATTCTTCTCTAATGCTACAGACCCTGTTCTAAATTCCTCCTGTATACCTTGCAGCTTAACTTACATTTAATATGTTAAAAACTGAATGGTCATCTCTGCTTATTCTTCATCATCTCTCTGAATGTGCTTTTCTGTCAGTGGCAGCACTCTCCATCTAGCCTCCTAAACTACTCATTCAGCAAGCAGTACTGAGTGTCTGGGTCTTCACAAGGGGTGGCGATTTAGGAACAAACAAAGCAGACTTGACTCTAGTTTTCATGATGCTTATGTATTTTATGAAAGGGGATGTGTGGAAACTTCCCTTTCCTTTATCTCTAAAATATAAAGTATCATTAAGTCCTACCAATTCTTTTTAATAGTTCCTTTTTTTTTTTTGGACTGTAGTTTTCTCATGTTTGCAGTCCCTTAATACGCTTGAAACTGTTTTCTTCTCAGTTTGTCTTGTCAGTTCCTTAGTACATACTCATAATTTATTACTAATAAGGGCCGGCCCGGTGGCGCACTGCTACAGTGCGCCACTTGGGAGCACGGCGGCGCTCCCGCCGAGGGTTCGGATCCCACATACAGACCAGTTCCTGCTCACTGGCTGAGCGAGGTGCGGGCGCGACACCAAGGGTTGCGATCCCGTTGCCGGTCCGGTACGGGTGCGACACTGAGGGTTGCGATCCGTTGCCGGACACAAAAGACAAAAAAAAAAAAATTTATTACTCATAATACTGTATCATCCTCTTAATCGATTTCTATGCCTCTAGTCTTGTGCCCTCCTAACCTGACTGATTTATAGTCATCTTTCTAAAAGTCTTAAATTTTTCTGATGACTTCCCAGTGCCTGTTGGAAAAAAATCTAAACTCCTCAACATGGTTTATAATATCTTTTTTGGGATCTTGTTTCTTTGAACTCTCCAGATTTATTTCTTACCATAATTCCAGTTATTTGCTTCAGCTGCTATTTAGATAAAGTTAACAAATACTTGCACCTACTTGTGTGCCAGGTGTTAAATTATTGTACTATGAGGAAAGAGATGAAAAAGGAATGGTTATTTTCTTAGGGAACTTAGGTACTTTAAAAAAGAGACACAGAAACACATAATATCAATATAATAGTATGACGATAGAGGCAAGATCAAAGCAGTAATATTAATCCAGCCTGTTTACAGCTTTCCAGGTTATGTGCTGCTGTCACTTCTGGATTTCCCTTGATTTTATTCTTCTATTTAGAATGCTGCCTTTGACCTTCCATCCGGCAGCTCTCTCCACTCCCCCCAAATGTACAAATCGAACAGAAAAGCCTGGCTAATCTCCTTAAAGCACAAACAAATTAAAGTATTACCTACTAGGAAGGCTTCCTTGATCATGCCTTGTCCCCAAACTGAATTTGGCACCCTTTTTTGTGTTCTCATAAAACCACATACTTTTATTATATATCCCATCTTTTTGAGTGCTTATTGCTTTGTCTGTTGCACCATTAATCTGTAAGCTTCTTAAAGGAAATACAGGTTGAGTATCCTTTAACTTAAATGCTTGGAACCGGAAGCATTTCAGATTTCAGATGTTTTCAGATTTTGGAATATTCGCATATACATACTGGCTGAGCATCCCTAATCTGAAAATCTGAAATGCTCCAATGAGCATTTCCTTTGAGCTTCATGTCAGCACTCAAAGAGTTCTGGATTTCGGAACATTTTGGACTGCAGATTTTCAGGTTAGGCATGCTCAGTCTGTGCTATATCTTACTATTTTTGCATTCCTTGAACTTAATGGCAAGTAAGAGGCTTTCAGTGCTCTTTATTTATTAATAATTATAATATGTTAATTGTGGTATGAGGGTCCTTAAACAGTTCATGGAAAAATGGCAGTGAAAGATAATATGAATCTTTCCATGAACTTTTTGACATAGCTCATACATATAGTTAATAATATTTGTTAATACATTCTTTCGAGTTGTGGTTGACTTTAGAATCCTAGAATGCAGGATCTGGAAGGAACTTTAGAAATCATCTAAGCTGGTGGTTCTTATCTATGGTTGCATGATAGAATCAACTGGGGAGCTTTAAATAAAATACATAGCTTTTATCTTACACCAATTAAATCTGAATATTAGTGTGGGGACAAGATATCAGTATTTTTTAAGTTACCAGGTGGTTCTTATTTGTAGCCAGGGTTGAGAACCATTGATCCTGGTCTGACAGCTTTATCTATATCTGATCTTAGGTGAAACTAGAGCCAGATGTTCAAATTCTCAGTCCAGTGTTCTTCATGTGGAGACAGCATGGCATAATAGTAGGAGCATGGGCTCTGGACCAGAAAGCCTAGGTTCAAGTTTTGCTTCTTAGTGACAGTAAGCTTTGCAAACAACTAAACCTCTTTACACCTCAAGTGAATAAACTAATAACCTGTATCATCTTGGCCTGGTGCCTTGCATAAATACTAAGTGCTCAATAAATGAAGCAATTATCTTTAGAAAATCTTTTTCCTTCAGAAATTTGAATGGCAAAATGGAAATTTAGTGAGTCAGAACACTAGTTAAACATTGCTTTTGTGTTTTAGTAGTTTTACCTATGTTTGAAATACATACATTTCTGGTGATTGTTGAACATTTGGGCTTATTTGTATGTACGATACTTGATCCTCTCACTGTTTCATAATATGTGGTTTTCTTTTGCTATAAGGTACTGGCCCCTCTTCCTGGAGGGATTTCACCACAGGCAGGTGTCATCATCCAGCCTCAGCAAATCTTATTTACAGGAAATAAGACTCAAGTTATACCTACGACAGTGGCAGCACCTACACCAGCACAAGCACAGATAACTGCCACTGGCCAACAGCAGCCTCAGGCCCAGCCTGCTCAAACACAGGCTCCATTGGTATTACAAGTTGATGGAACTGGGGATACGTCATCTGAAGAAGATGAAGATGAAGAAGAAGACTATGATGACGATGAAGAAGAAGACAAAGAAAAAGATGGAGCTGAAGATGGGCAAGTGGAAGAAGTAAGTTTCTAGTAAAAGACTTGAAATAAGCATTTCCTGTTTTACTTGGTGCCAAACTGATGAATTATATCCTATTTTTTCAGAGGCTTTTAGGTGCTGTACAACATAGGATTTTATGGTAAAGTTAGATTGTTCTCAGTTTAGTAAGGTTTTTAGATTATTCTGGCTCTATCTTCATAGTTGTTTCATATAGCTGGTGATAGAAAATGAGTGTATGTGAAGTTAAATTCTGTTAATAAAGGTAGTAGAGACAGTGCAAGTAATTCCAATTCTTTGGCTTATGTTTTCGTAATATGGTAAACATGAGACATTGGTAGAAGAGATAGATTGGTTAATCTTTTGCTTCAGTAATTCAAAAGGCATGACAACATTTAGGGAAGAGAGGAAATCTAAGAAAAACTAAATGTCACAGATATTTTTATTTTGTTTTATTTTATTCATTCATTTTTATAAGGTTGATTGTCAGTGTGCATAAATGTGACATAATTATTCAAAACCTTCTTTTGGTCCATATTTCATACCTGTTCCTTAATGACATCATCTACTCTTAGTACCTGTCTTCTCGAAGTATGTAAACATCTTTGTTTTCTTTGTTATGCTTAATTTTTACCAGTCTGATAGGTAGAAAATGGTGTGTGTCTCATTTTGCTTTTACTTTGTATTTCCTTAATTATTGATGAATTTCAGTCTCTTTTCATGTATTTATTTGTGATTTTTGTTTTTATCTTGTGGAAGTGCTTACTCACATCTCTTCCCCATTATTATTCCCTAAATTCTTAGTAGTTTTGATGCTACTCTACGTGACATGACATGACATGTTTTTATTTTCCTATTGTTTATTGGTAATATGGATATGTGTAGAGCTTTTAATATTCATCTTTGAACCAGCTACTTTCCTAATGTCTTTTGTTAATGCTAATAATGTATCTGTAGATTCTTTTGTGTTTTCTATGTAGACAGTTACATCATATGTGAAAAATGGCAGTTTTTCTTGCTTCTTAGACTATGCCCTCCAGAAGAGTATTTTTTAAAAGTGGTGATAGAAAACACCTTTGTCTTATTCTTAAATTTAAAAGTAATCTTTTCTGTGGTTCACCATTAAGTGTACTGTTTGTTGTAGGGTTTTTGTTTTGAGGCATCTGGCCTGTATGGGGATCTGAACCCTTGATCTTATGTTATATATATAACATTGTGCTCTAACCAACTGAGTTAACCAGCCAGCCCTTTGTAGGTTTTTTATGAATACCCTCTGTTAGGTTAAGGAAGTTCCCTTCTATTCAAAAGTAACTATGAGCTTTGCTTTTTTTTTTTAAACATTTATTTTTGGGGTATGGTGTGTTGTTTTAATATATGCATATACTGTACATTGATTTACTTAGGGTAGATATTGTTTTTTAAAACTATAAACAAATGTTGAATCTTGTTAAATACATTTTCTGCAACTATTAGATAATTGTACCATTTCTTACCCTTAATTTGTTATTTATGATGAATTTTATTAATTGATTTTTCTGTTTGTAAACCAATCTTGTATTCCTGGGATAGCACACCTTAATCGTCATGTTACCCTTTTTATGAATTGCTGGATTCACTTTGCTGAGGACTTTTGCATATATATTTATAAGTGATACTGTCAGTGACATTCTGTTCTCATACTCATCAGGTTTTTAGGTTTCTGATAGCCTTATAAAATGAATTTTGGGGAGTTCCTTCTACCTTGAACTTCAAAGATTATACAGTCGACCCCTGAACAACATAGGTTTGAACTGTGTGGGTCCACTTACATGCGAATGTTCTTCAGCCAGCTTTGGATGGAGAATACAATATTCACAGAATGTGGAACCTATGCACATGGCTTTTTGTATTTCCAGTTCCGTAGGGCTAACTTGAGTATCCTTGGATTTTGGTATATAGGGGGAAGAGGGGTGCCCTTGAACCAATCCCCTGTGGATACCAAGGAATGACTATACTTAATTCTTTGAATGTTTGTTAAATCATGCTGTTATGAATGTCTGGGCCTAATAATCTTACTCCATTCAAGTATTCTGTTTTGTTATTGAGACAGTTATGGTAAGTTATATCAACTTATAGCTTTGTTTATTCTACCTTTTGTTTTTTTCCTATTTTATTAATTTCTGTTCTGAATTAACTGTTTCATTTGTGGATGATAGGATCTCTGTGATTGTGGATCCTTTGAAATTGGTTCAGACTTGCTTGTCTGCTTTTGTATATTCTCTGTGTAATTGAACAAAGAATGTGTCTTCTGCAGTTTAGTACTCTCTTCTGTATGTCTGTTAGATTTAGATTGTGAATAGGTTTGTTCAGATATTGTATATCCTTATATTTTTTGTGTTCTTGATCCATCGTCAATTATTGAGTGAGATATGTTCAGATCTCCTACTGTAATTGATTTATTTCTCATTGTTTTTCTGTCATTTTTCCCTTTTATATTTTGAGCTTAAAAATGGGTGCACGTAAACTTAGAATTGTTCTATTTTCCTAGTGAGTTGAAACTTTTATGATTATATAGTGTCTTGCTTTATTTCTAGTGATTTTTTTTAAACATAATGTCTGTTTGATATTAATAGAGCCATATCAGCTTTGTTTTGGTTAGAATTTGCCTGGGATAGCTTTTTTTATTCTTTCACTTTCAAATTTGTTGGATCTGTAATCTTTAGGTGTGTTTTTGTAAGTGTAATACTGCCATTTATGTTATTATGTTAAAGTTTTTGTATCAGTCAAGACTATTAGTGGAAAAGAATAGCCTTTTCAATATTCGTGCTCAGACTACTGAATATCCATATGCAGAAGAGTGAAGTTGGACCCCTGCCTCATACCAGATGCAAAAATTAACCCAAAATGGATCAAAGACCTAAGTCTAAGAGCTAAAATTATAAAACTCTTAAAATGGGTGAATCTTCAGAACCTTGGCAATGGTTTCTTACATATGACACCAAAAGTACAAGCAATCAAAGAAAATGTGGACTTCATAGATTAGAGTTTTTGTGTAACAAAGTACAATATCAAGAAAGTAAAGAGACAACCCACAGAATGGGAGAAAATATTTGCAAATCTTATATCTGATAAAGATCTAGTATGCAGAATATACACATAATGCCACATAATGATGTTTTGGTCAACAACAGACCATATATACAGTGGTGGTCTCATTAGATTATGACGGAGCTAAGAAATGCCTATTGCCTGGTGATATTGTAGCTGTTGTAGTAGCTCAATGCATTACTCATGGGAGCAATAGGTTGTACCATATAGCTTGCACGAGTAATAGGCTATACCATCTAGGTTTATATAAGTACATCCTATAATGACTAAATAGCCTAACAGTGCCTTTCTCAGAACATATTCCCATCATTAAGTGATGCATGACTATATAAAGAACTCTTTACAGCTGAACAACAAAAAGACAGTCCAATTGAAAATTGGGCAAAGGACTTGAGTAGACATTTCTCCAAAGACAATATACAAATAGCTAAAGATGCTCAGCATTTTTAGTCATGAGAGAATTGCAAATCAAAACCACAGTGACTTACCAGCCAACCGCCCAAAAAAGAAGAAAAAGAAAACAATGAGATACCACTTCACACCTACTAGGATGGTTATTATCAAAAAAGAAAGAAAATATATGTTGGTGAGCATATGGAGAAATTGGAAACTTGTGCATTGCTGGTGGGAACATAAAATGGTATAGCTGCTATGGAAAACAGTTTTCTGTCTCCTCAAAAAATTAAGCATAGAATTAACCATATGACTTAAAAATTCCACTCCTAAGTGTATATACAGAAGATAATTTAAAATAGATGTTCAATCAAAAACTTTTACATGAATGTTCGTAGTACCATTGTTCATGATATCCAAAAGGTGTAAACAGCCCAGATGTTCATCAGCTGATGAATAGACAATAAAATGTGGTATATTTATATAGTGGAATATTATTTAGCTATAAAAAAGGAATGAATACTGATAAGGATGCATCATGGATGAACCTTGACACCATGCTAAGTGAAAGCAGCCAGATACAATAGGCCACATATTGTATGATATCATTTATATGAAATATCCAGAGTAGATAAATCCATAGAGACAAAGCATATTAGTGGTTGCTAGGGGGTAGGGGTGGGGGGGGAATGAGGAGTGAGACTGTTTAATGGGTAAGGGTGGTGAAATGTTCTAGAACTAGGCAGTGGTGATAGTTATCACATTATGAATGTTCTTAGTGCAAATGAATTATATACTTTTAAGTTGTTAAAATGGTAAATTTTATGTTATGTGACTTTACCTAAAATTTTTTTTCATTTTACATTGGTGATATCTATTTTAAAGAACATAAGAGCTGACTGGTTGTCTCAGTTGGTTAGAGCATGGTGTTAAAACACAAAGGTCTAAGGTTCAGATCCCTGTACTGGCCAGCTGCCAAAAAATAATAAAGCCCTTACAGAGAGACAGGAAGCCATGCAGGACCCAGGCAAGTGAGCCCTGCCCCTGGAAGACCCTCCAGGCTGCAGCTGAGGCCCTGCCAGAGAGACAAGAAGCTGTACTGTCAGCAGCACTCCCTACCCCTGCTGCAGATACCAGCATAGAACAAGTGGGCCATGACAGCCACCACCACAGCAACTGTTGCCATAAGGATGGCTTGCTGCCATAACAGCAGCCACCAATACCTCACAGGGTACCTGGTGACCACTTATCGGTATGGACAGAAGGAGAATCACCACCAGAGCCTAGGTAAAGAGGAAAGAAAAAAGAGAAAACCCACCCAGAGTCACCCATTCAAGTCAAGGCGCACTAGTATACCCCAGTGCACCCATAGAGTCAGGGCGAGCTAGCCAGGGTGCCAACAGTCCTATACAAGAACACCCACCATAACTTAAGAGTAACAAGACTTCAGGGCTCTACACCCCAAAATTTGAGAGCTTGTCCATGTCCTGATGAACCAATGTAGTGTCACCAACCTCAGCAAGGACTAGATCACAGAGGCACTC